ATTGCCATCGTGACCTAGCTAATGTGCCATCCTGACTACTAATTGCCGTCGTGACCTGCTAATGTGCCTCCGTGACCTAGCTAAATGTGACGTCGTGACCTAGCTAAATGTGCGCAAGTGTGCAAATGATCGTGACTAGCTAAATGTGCCGTGACCTAGTTAATGTGCCTCCTGACCTAGCTAAATGTCATCCTGACCTAGCTAATGTCCATCCGTGACCTAGCTAAATGTGCCGTCCTGACCTACTAAATGTGCCGTCCGTGACATGCTAAATGTGCCGTCCGTGACATAGCTAAATGTGCCGTCCTTTCCTAGCTAAATGGGCCGTCCGTGACCTAGCTAAATTGCCGTCCGTGACCTAGCTAAATGTGCCGTCCGTGACCTAGCTAAATGTGCCATCCGTGACCTAGCTAAATGTGCCGTCCGTGACCTAGCTAAATGTGCCTCCGTGACCTAGCTAATTGCCGACCGTGAACCTAGCTAAATGTGCCGACCGTGACCTAGCTAAATGTGACATCGTGACATAGCTAAATGTGCTGTCCGTGACCTACTAAATGTGCCTTCCGTGACCTACTAATGTGCCGTCCGTGACCTAGCTAAATGTGCCATCCGTGACCTAGCTAAATGTGCCGTCCGTGACCTAGCTAAATTGCTCGTGACATCATGCGATACAGAATGTGCCATCCTTGACCTGCTAAATGTGCCATCCGTGACCTAGCTAAATGTGCCATCCGTGACCTAGCTAAATGTGCAGTCCGTGACCTGAGCCTTCAGACATGTCTTTCCATGCTTCAGATGAATGAAGAATGTTCCTACCCAAAACCCAGCCTTAACCACAACCAAGTAGGAATTTGCCTCAACCAAACAGAGGGAAACTCTGCCCTATACCCCAGTACAGAGGGAAACTCTGCATTATACCCCACTACAGAAGGAAACCCTGCATTATACCCTAGTGCAGAGGGAAACTCTGCATTATACCCTAGTGCAGAGGAAACTCTGCATTATACCCTAGTGCAGAGGGAAACTCTGCATTATACCCTAGTACAGAGGGAAACTCTGCATTATAATCCCCACTACAGAGAAACCCTGCATTATAATCCCCAGTAACGAGGGAAACTCTGCCCTATACCCCAGTACAGAAGGAACTCTGCCTTATGCCCCAGTATATAAGGAAACCCTGCCTTATGCCCAGTATAGAAGGAAACCCTGCCTTATGCCCCAGTATAGAAGGAAACCCTGCCTTATACCCCAGTATATGAAGGAACCCTGCCTTATACCCCAGTATAGAGGAACCCTGCCTTATACCCCAGTACAGAAGGAAACCCTGCTTATACCCCCAGTATAGAAGGAAACCCTGCCTTATGCCCAGTATAGAGGAAACCCTGCCTTATACCCCAGTATAGAAGGAACCCTGCCTTTATACCCCAGTACGAAGGAAACCCTGCCTTATACCCCAGTGCAAAAGGACCACATGGCCTATAGATCCTTTATTACATCATTAGAGGGAATCAAATGATGTGACTCAACAATCTTCAACCTAACACAGAGTCACACCCCAAAGTGTGAGAAAGTCGGTCTGAAAGCCTTGGTGATGAGTCAGGAGGAAGTATTTTTCCCCCCCTTTGCCCTTGAACCCCCCCCTTCCTCCCCCTCAGGCACACGATGTGTTGAATGGCTGCCAAGGGCCACAAGGAGTGAGCGAATCATAAACAGAACGCTGTGCCTTTCTCTAAGAGGGTCCTGATGGACATCATAATCGAGCTACAATGAAGTGTTTACACAGGACCATAAATAGAAGCTCCCTCTGACAGCAGGGGATGATTACTTGGCCATGTCTGTCGGCCCTCCAATGGCCCAGTGATACAGAGGACTATGTCCTCTAATGGCCCAGTGATACAGAGGACTATGTCCTCTAATGGCCCAGTGATACAGAGGACTATGTCCTCTAATGGCCCAGTGATACAGAGGACTAGGTCCTCTAATGGCCCAGTGATACAGAGGACCAGGTCCCTCTAATGGCCGCAGTGATACAGAGGACTATGTCCTCTAATGGCCCAGTGATACAGAGGAATAGGTCCTCTAATGGCCCAGTGATCAGAGGACTATGTCCTATAATGGCCCAGTGATACGAGGACTAGGTCCTCTAATGGCCCAGTGATACAGAGGACTATGTCCTCTAATGCGCCATGATCACGAGGAATAGGTCCTCTGATGGCCCAGTGATCAGAGGACTAGGTCCTCTAATGGCCCAGTGATACAGAGGGACTATGTCCCCTAATGGCCCAGTGATACAGAGGACTAGGTCCTCTAATGGCCCAGTGATACAGAGGACTATGTCCTCTAATGGCCCAGTGATACAGAGGAATAGGTCCTCTGATGGCCCAGTGATACAGAGGACTATGTCCTCTATGGCCCAGTGATACAGAGGACTATGTCCTCTAATGGCGCCAGTGATACAGAGGAATAGGTCCTCTGATGGCCCAGTGATACAGAGGACTAGGTCCTCTAATGGCCCAGTGATACAGAGGATATTTCCTCAAAGGGCCCAGTGACCAGAGGACTAGGTTCCTCTAATGGCCCAGTGTCCCAAAGGAAATGTCCTCTGAGGGCCCCCAGTGATACAAGGACTATGTCCTTTTTAAGGGGCCCGGGGGGGATAAAAGGAAATGGGTCCTCTAATGGCCTATTGATACAGAGCTAGGTCCTCAAATGGCCCATGATAAAAGAGGACTGGCCCCTCACGGCCCCCCGTGATAAGGCCCTAGGTCCTCTAAGGGGGCCCCAGTGATACAAGGAATAGGTCCTCTGATGGCCCAGGGGAATAAGAGGGCCCCCCCAAAAAATAAACCCTTTTTTGGGGGGGCTGCCCACCCTAATCATTTTGCGGGCCCCTGTGCCCAGGTTAAACCCAAAATTTTTGGACAAAAAACCCCCCCCAAAAGTTAATGAATCGTACCCCCCGGGAATAATAATTCATAATATATAAATGTTTATTTCCTACCTAATACAATATTTTTTCCCATATCAAAAATTTAATTTTATCCCCCGTGTTTTTCCCCCTCAAAAATAGTGGGGGAAAATTTGTCATTAAAAATCCGGGGACGGGTTTCCCTAATAATATACCATTCCACCCTGTGCTTTTTTCACGCGTTTGGATTGAAAAGGGATTTTCATTGGGAAATTGAGCTACAACGGGGAGGTTTTTTTCAGAGCGGGGCTTTAAAGGCGGGGTTTTTCAGAAGGGGGGGCTTTCATTCTGGGCTTTCAAACCGGGGCCCCCCCCCCTTTCCCCCCCCCCAGCCCCCCCGGGGCCCGGGGGCCAAGAAAAAAAAAAAAAAAGAAGTTTCCCAATTTAACAGAAACTTTAAATGAACCCATTTTAAGTGAACACATTTGAAGGAACAAAATTAAACTAAACCCATTTAAGTGAACACATTTTTTTTCGAAAAAAGGGGTGTTTGCTGATAACCCTCCCCCGTCGCGGGAAGCTGGAATTTTTTTAAATGAACGTGCGAAAGTAACATGTTTTTTTAAAAGGTGATTTGTTTTGAAAACCGATAACCCCCTCAGGACTGGTTTGGGCCCAGGTCTTTAAAAAAGTAATACATTTTTACGGGTTAAATTACATCTTCTTTACTAAAAACCCCAAAGGAGGAGGGAGGGGGGGAAGTTTCAGACTGGCCTCTCCTGGTCCCCAAATCACAAAGTCCCTGTACGGGGAATAGTTCAGGCCCCCCAAAATGGCCCAGTGATACAGGGGACTAGGGTCCCTACGGGCCCCCGGGGATACAGAGGGACTAGGTCCTCTAATGGCCCGTGATCCCGGGGAAACCAGGCCCCTCAAATGGCCCAGTGATCCAGGGGATTGCCCCTCTATGGGCCCAGTGATCAGGGAATAGGTCCTCTGAGGCCAGTGATACACGGGGAATAGGGGTCCCTCGGGAGGGGCCCCAGGAAAACAGGGAAAATAGGTCCTCTGAGGGCCCTTGATCAGAGGATAGGCCCCTCTAAGGCCCCTTGTACAGGGGCTATGTCCCCCTAATGGCCCGTGATCCCGAGGACTGGGTTTCCCCTAATGGCCCTTTACGGAGGACTATTCCCCCCCCCTAATGGCCCAGTGATACAGGGAATAGGTCCCCCTGATGGCCCAGTGATACGAAAAAGGGTCCCTTTTAGGGGCCGGTTTTTAAAGGAGGACGGTTTCCTCTTTGGGCCCAGTGTACAGGGGGAATGGTTCTGGGGGCCAGTGATCCAGAGGACTAGGCCCCTCTGTTTGGGGGGGTAATCCCGGGAATGGGTCCTCTGAGGGCCCCGTGAATCCCAAGAGGAATGGGCCCCTCAAAGGGCCCCCAGTGATCCGGGGAAAATAGGTCCTCAAATGGCCCATTGATACAGAGAATAGGTCCCTTTGGGCCCAGGGGATCCCAAGGATGGGTCCTCTAATGGCCCGTGTCAGGGGAATGGGTCCTCTGATGGGCCATTTGATACAAGGAATATTACGGGGTCCTCTAATCCCCCTGTGATCTCCGAAACCCAAGTTTTTCCCCCCCAGTCCTATTTTCCCCCCCCCTTCCCCATTACACTTTGATCTATTCCAAACACAGGGGCCCCAAAACAGGTTTAAGGAGGTTTTTATCCGTCTGCATTGACTCTAGCCCTATGTTTTTTTAAAAGGGGAAACGATTCAGTTTACATTTAAAATATCCCCAATGGGGGGCCCGAGATGTCCACCATTAAAAACAAATCCTTTGGATTTTTTATTCAAATGATTGTCTATTGGAAAAATTCCCAGTTTTGGTTTGGGAGAAGCTGCTAATTGCTACTCCTGTTTTTTGGGTTTTTTTCCCCTCCCCCTTGGTCCAAAACTGCCCTTTCCTGGTTTTTGTTATTCCCAAAGGAATCCCAAAGGGTTTCCCTCAATCTATGAGCCCATTCCACTGGCCCTTCCCAAACTCCCAAACCCAAACCCCCAAAATGCTAGTTTTAAAGGCCCCTTTTCCCCTTTTTTTTTTACGATCCCCCCTCCCCACACCCCAAAACCTTTTGCCTTGAATGTGTGTTTTTGGCGAACGGGGGTGGTTCAAATAAAGATTTTTTAAATTTTAAACACCAGGCGTCTCCGTAGGATTTTGGGTTTTTTTGATTATTCCCTGTTTCCGGATTTTTGGGAAACCTTAACCTACCCTGCTCAGAGGGGTTGGACTCTAATCTACTGCTCAGGGGGGTTGGACTCTAACTCTCTGCCAGGGGGGTTTAGGACCCTAATCAAAGCTGCTAAAGGGGGGGTTGGACTCTAATTTTGGGGTAAAGGAGATGGTGAAAAGTCATTTTTTTGAGAGTTTTCCCTTGCCAGGGGCATTATGAAATTTTTGTTTCAGACCCCCTCGGTTCGGGTCCCCTCTTTGTGACTGTTTTTAATGTTTAATGGGGCTGACCAAAGCCTGTGATTTATTAAAAAACACAGTATATGGAAACGGATAAAGTATTTCCATAACGGGACCATTTTTCCCTAAAAATTTTTTACTGACCATTTGGAACTTTAGTCAATAATTTTTTTGGGGGTTTTTTATTCATTTTTATTTCCTTTCACATTAATAAACAGGACCAATTTTGTTTTCCCCCTCGCCCTGTCTGTAAAGGCCTGAGAAAAGAAAGTTTTTGACCCCAAACTTCATTTTTTCCAGTCTGCAACCCAAAAGAGAAGTCGGGGGGGGAGGGGTTCCCCTGTAATTTCCCAGGGAAAAGAATAACCCCTCACAGCGCCCCTCAAGGGAGACAAAAGGAATCTCTTTTTTTGCGAACTAATTCCCCCCTTTTTCCCCCTTTTTATTTTCCCCCGGCACTGAGCGGGGATGGGATTTTAAAACTCCCTTCGGGACGTCGAACCAGTTTTTCCCCAACCTCCCTTCGCCCCCCAAAAACCCTTAACATTTTGTTTTATCCTTTAAACCCTACCCCCCGATTAAATTTAAGTCAAAAAATCATCAACCTTTGACTCATTAAGTCGGGTTTTTGGGGCCATTTTGGGGTTAAAAACCTAAATGTAAAATTTTTGGGGGGGGCCCTCGGGGAGAGGGGGGGGAAAACCCCCCTGGTCTAGACGTTCGGGGGCCCTGGAGGAGGGGAAAAGGGTTTGGGGTAACCCGGGTTTGTAGTGCCAGCGGGGCTGGGGGAAGAGGGTTATGGTTGGGGAAACCCTTTGGTGGAGACGCCCCAGCGGGTTTGGGGGAAAGGGGGGTTATTTTGGGGGCCCCCCTGGTGGAGCCCCCGCGGGGCTGGGGAGAGGGTTTGGTTAGGGTAACCCTTTGGTGTAAAATGCCCCGGGGGGCCCGGGGGAAAAGGGTTGGTTTTTAGGGAAACCCCGGGTTAGATGTCCCACCCGGGGCGGGAGGAGGGGGTTAGGTTGGGGTAACCCTGGTGGAGACGTCCAGCGGGGCTGGAGGAGAGGGTTATGGTTAGGGTAACCCTGGTGTAGATGTCCATTGGGGCTGGAGGAGAGGGTTATGGTTAGGGTAAACCCTGGTGGAGACTGAGAGATCTCCATGAAACACACCCTTTCCATGTTTTCCCCCTTTTAGTTTCTTCTTCATTAGATGTCCTTCATCTGTGGAAAGAACCCAGATCCTGCCCTCCGAAGCCTGGCCCTCTGAAGCCTGGCCCTCCGATGCCAGATTGTCTCCTCCGGTTGGAATGAGAGAACCTGAATGGGCCTAAGAGTTGCCACTATTTTATGATGTGTATGAAGTGTGACTCTGTTCTGCCCTGGGTGTGTGTGTGAGAGTGAGGGGGGTTTGAGAGTTTGTGGCTGGAATTTGTACACACCAGCTGTGTGTGGCCGGGACAGGGTGGGATACTGACATATTTCCTGTTTATCTTTCATTTTTACACACACACACACACACACACACAGTTTTGTATTGCTCTCCTAGTGGGGACCAAATAATTGATTTCCCTCCAAAATCCTATTTCCCTAACCCCTAACCCTAAATCTAACCCTAACCCTAACCTTAACCCTTAACCTAACCTTAACCCTAAACCTAACCTTAACCCCAAACCCCTAACCCTAAAACTATACCTAGCCCTAACTCCTAACCCTGACCCTAACCGTAAGCCCTAACCCTAACCTTAATTTTAACCCTAATTGTAACCCTTTACCCTAAAATAGCATTTTTCCTTGTGTGGGACAGGCAAAATGTCCTCACTTGTCCGAATGTTCCAAACATTGTACATTTGAATTCCGTAAAGTGAGTGTGGAAGAGGTGAAAAAAATATTGTTGTCTATCAACAATGGCAAGCCACCGGGGTCTGACAACTTGGATGGAAAATTACTGAGGATGATAGCGGACGATATTGCCACTCCTATTTGCCATCTCTTCAATCTAAGCCTACAGGAAAGTGTGTGCCCTCAGGCCTGGAGGGAAGCAAAAGTCATTCCACTATCCAATAATAGCAAAGCACCCTTTACTGGCTCAAATACGTGACCAATCAGCCTGATACCAACCCTTAGTAAACTTTTGGATAAAATGGTGTTTGACCAGATACACTGCTATTTTTGAGTAAACAAATTAACAACAGATTTTCACCATGCTTATAGGGAAGGGCATTCAACATGTATGGCACTTACACAAATGGCTGATGATTTGCTGAAAGAAATTGATAATAAACGATTGTGGGAGCTTTTTTGTTAGACATCAGTGCAACTTTTGACATTATCGATCATAATCTGCTGCTGGAAAAATTTATATGTTATGGCTTTACATCCCCTGTGTAAAGGAGTGGGGGAAAAAAGTATTTAGTCAGCCACCAATTGTGCATGTTCTCCCACTTAAAAAGATGAGAGAGGCCTGTAATTTTCATCATAGGTACACGTCAACTATGATAGACAAATTGAGAATAAAAAATCCAGAAAATCACATTGTAGGATTTTTTATGAATTTATTTGCAAATTATGGTGGAAAATAAGTATTTGGTCACCTACAAACAAGCAAGATTTCTGTCTCTCACAGACCGGTAACTTCTTCTTTAAGAGGCTCCTCTGTCCTCCACTCGTTACCTGTATTAATGGCACCTGTTTGAACTTGTTATCAGTATAAAAGACACCTGTCCACAACCTCAAACAGTCACACTCCAAACTCTACTATGGCCAAGACCAAAGAGCTGTCAAAGGACACCAGAAACAAAATTGTAGACCTGCACCAGGCTGGGAAGACTGAATCTGCAATAGGTAAGCAGCTTGGTTTGAAGAAATCAACTGTGGGAGCAATTATTAGGAAATGGAAGACATACAAGACCACTGATAATCTCCCTCGATCTGGGGCTCCACGCAAGATCTCACCCCGTGGGGTTGAAATGATCACAAGAACGGTGAGCAAAAATCCCAGAACCACACAGGGGGACCTAGTGAATGACCTGCAGAGAGCTGGGACCAAAGTAACAAAGCCTACCATCAGTAACACACTACGCCGCCAGGGACTCAAATCCTGCAGTGCCAGACGTGTCCCCCTGCTTAGGCCCGTCTGAAGTTTGCTAGAGTGCATTTGGATGATCCAGAAGAGGATTGGGAGAATGTCATATGGTCAGATGAAACCAAAATAGAACTTTTTGGTAAAAACTCTACTCGTTGTGTTTGGAGGAAAAAGAATGCTGAGTTGCATCCAAAGAACACCATACCTACTGTGAAGCATTTTCTGCAAAGGGACCAGGACGACTGATCCGTGTAAAGGAAAGAATGAATGGGGCCATGTATCGTGAGATTTTGAGTGAAAACAATAACCTTTCCTTTTGCAGGAGGAATTCTACAATAATCTCATACGTTAGGTTGCCACTGCAACACTTAACAAAGAGCTGCTGTCAGTTTTAGAATGGGTGGCAAGTAATAAGATAGTACTAAATATTTCAAAAACTCAAAGCATTGTATTTGGGACAAATCATTCACTAAACCCTAAACCTCAACTAAATTTTCTAATGAATAATGTGGAAATTGAGCAAGTTGACGATACTAAACTGCATGGAGTAACCCTGGATTGTAAACTGTCATGGTCAAAACATATTGATGTAACAGTAGCTAAGATGGGGAGAGGTCTGTCCATAATAAAGCACTGCTCTGCCTTCTTAACAACACTATCAACAAGGCAGGTCCTGCAGGCCCTAGATTTGTCGCACCTGGACTACTGTCCAGTCATGTGGTCAGATGCCACAAAGAGGGACTTAGGAAAATTACAGTTGGCCCAGAATAGGGCAGCACAGCTGGCCCTTAAATGTACACGGAGAGCTAACATTAATAATATCACTATATGCACAATTTGCACTTCATCACTACTTGTATATGTGAGAAATATTAACATGTTGAATGCACTGAGCTGTCTGTTTAAACTACTAGCACACAGCTCGGACACACATGCATACCTCACGAGACATGCCATCAGAGGTCTCTTCACAGTCCCCAAGTCCAGAACAGACTATGGGAGGGGCACAGTACTACATAGAGCCATGACTACATGGAACTCTATTCCACATCAAGTAACTGATGCAAGGAGTAAAATTAGATTTTTTAAAAACAGATAAAAATACACCTTGTGGAACAGCGGGGACTCTGAAGAGACATACACACACACGATAACATACGCACTATACACACCTACACATGGATGTTGTGTTGTAGATATGTGGTAGTAGAGTAGGGACCTGAGGTAACACACTTAATGTGTTGTGAAATCTGTTGTGAAATGTAATGTAATGTTTTTAATTGTATATAACTGCCTTAATTTAGCTGGAGCCCAGGAAGAGTAGCTGCTGCCTTGGCAGGAACTAATGGGGATCCATAATAAACCCCAGGAAGAGTAGCTGCTGCCTTGGCAGGAACTAATGGGGATCCATAATAAACCCCAGGAAGAGTAGCTGCTGCCTTGGCAGGAACTAATGACGATCCATAATAAACCCCAGGAAGAGTAGCTGCTGCCTTGGCAGGAACTAATGAGGATCCATAATAAACCCCAGGAAGAGTAGCTGCTGCCTTGGCAGGAACTAATGAGGATCCATAATAAACCCCAGGAAGAGTAGCTGCTGCCTTGGCAGGAACTAATGGGGATCCATAATAAACCCCAGGAAGAGTAGCTGCTGCCTTGGCGGGAACTAATGAGGATCCATAATAAACCCCAGGAAGAGTAGCTGCTGCCTTGGCAGGAACTAATGACGATCCATAATAAACCCCAGGAAGAGTAGCTGCTGCCTTGGCAGGAACTAATGACGATCCATAATAAACCCCAGGAAGAGTAGCTGCTGCCTTGGCAGGAACTAATGAGGATCCATAATAAACCCCAGGAAGAGTAGCTGCTGCCTTGGCAGGAACTAATGAGGATCCATAATAAACCCCAGGAAGAGTAGCTGCTGCCTTGGCAGGAACTAATGGGGATCCATAATAAACCCCAGGAAGAGTAGCTGCTGCCTTGGCGGGAACTAATGAGGATCCATAATAAACCCCAGGAAGAGTAGCTGCTGCCTTGGCAGGAACTAATGACGATCCATAATAAACCCCAGGAAGAGTAGCTGCTGCCTTGGCAGGAACTAATGAGGATCCATAATAAACCCCAGGAAGAGTAGCTGCTGCCTTGGCAGGAACTAATGGGGATCCATAATAAACCCCAGGAAGAGTAGCTGCTGCCTTGGCAGGAACTAATGAGGATCCATAATAAACCCCAGGAAGAGTAGCTGCTGCCTTGGCATGAACTAATGGAGATCCATAATAAACCCCAGGAAGAGTAGCTGCTGCCTTGGTGTCACGCCCTGGCTCTGGGGACTCTTGTATGTTGAGCCAGGGTGTTAGTTTCGTTGTGTAGTGTCTATGTTTCGTTTTCTATGTTCTGTTCTGGGTTATGTGTTTCTATGTTGGCCGGGGTGGTTCTCAATCAGAGGCAATGAGAATCAGCTGTTGCTTGTTGTCTCTGATTGGGGACCATACTTAGGCAGCCTGTTGTGCACTTGTGTTTGGTGGGATCTTGTTCCGTGTTGGGTTGTGTTCATGACTGAGGACTTCACGTATCGTTTTGTTGTTTTTGTATTTTGTATCATGTTGCTAGTACACTATTAAAAGAGATGTACGCATATCACGCTGCGCCTTGGTCCAATCATTATGACGATCGTGACACTTTGCAGGAACTAATGAGGATCCATAATAAACCCCAGGAAGAGTAGCTGCTGCCTTGGCAGGAACTAATGGGGGATCCATAATAAATACAATACAATACAGTTGAAATTGTATATGACGCACATCATTGTCCATTTTTGTCCATCAGAAGTACAACTCAAGTCAACTATTTTCAGATGAGTTTGTCTGTCAAAAGATGGACCGTTTGTGCCTTTTTTGTTGGACAATCATCATTAATTAATCTTAATTATACAGTACAACAGGTGGAATTTGATTTAAGTACTATGTATGTTAGCACTGTATCTAGCTCAGGACAGCATTAACACATCAAGCAGATACAGATTAAATGCTTTATAGTTAGCTAGAACTTTCTTTCTTTGTCACAATTTCATTGTATCCATGGCTACCTGGCAACCTAACGTATGAGATTATTGTAGACTTCCTCCTGCAAAAGGAAAGGTTATTGTTTAATTGATTGATTGAGTTTGTAGTATAGCAAAGACAGATGATAAAGTATGATGCCGCTAGTTATCACAAGAAAACATACGGCACAGATTTCCAATGTGGTCCTCGGTGCGGAAACGCCGAAATAACCATAGAACTAAAGCACATATGATGAGCCCAGTGGCTTCCTCACCATGATGACAGGATGTAGATCACCGATGTGTTGAAAGTGTTGACTGCTCCAAACGTGTCCACAGGGGCCTCCGGTGGAAAGGCATCTGAGTGGACAACTACGCCATCAGGACCCATCTCATCTGCCCCTTTCTCTGCCCAGGCACATGAGGACAGCGCTGGAACACAGGAAGCACACTTACAGGACAGGACCGCAGGTGTTGAGACAACCCTGGTAAACTGGATTAGAATATGAAGAGTTAACCATAGCATCGAACCCAAAGTATTAGACTGTACTCCCCACATCCTCGACCTCTTTGCCCCGTTCTGTCCGTCCATCCGTCCGTCTTTCTTTTTGTTACTCTATCTCCTGCCTGCCTGTATGTGTGTCCCTCTCTCTCTCTTCCTCTTTCTCTCTCTTTTCTTCTGTCTCTGTGTCCCACTCACCCTTTCTTCACTCTGTGGTAGAGGCCCTTCGGAGCACTGGCAGCAGAGTGGAAGGCAAAGAGCACGGCCGCATCCTTGTTGACCAACTCCTGGAGAGGAGAGGTTGCTTCAGGACATGTTCAGGGCAGATAAAGGAGACAGCAGTGTTTTATAACATTAACAGGTTTGGTCATTTCCTCTCCAATGCCAGCAATGACAGAAGCAGGATTAAAATATATTTTATTTATTTATCTATGCATGCTATTCAAATTTTTATTTTTATATTTTTTTACATTAGTTTTTTTGTCATTTAGCAGACGCTCCTTATCCAAATCATGCCTACTCAGTTATTGCTTATATTGTACCACAGTGAACACTCCATCCTTAAATGCAAACTATGAATCAAGAATACATTGTCTTATAAACCCATGTGGGCTAGGCATTCTGAAGATACAAGACACTAATAATAACATAAATCAAAATCAATCTCCAAACCTGTAAAGAAAGCTGAACAACATGTTTTGGGAATTAAATGACAATATACAACATTCCTACAGAACATTGTCTGTCTTAGATGTTGTTTGGGAGGCATTATCCCACGGTGTTATGGGTGATACTCATGCTATCAGTGAGGGCGTCGTACCACATCGCCATAGCGAAAGAGCTGGTACAGAGGCTCCCTGGTCTTCTCTATCTCCACGGATGCAGTGATCCTGTGTTGCTGTGGCAACGTGCTGTTAGACAGCTCCACCTGCTGGATCATCTTCACCTTCTCCTCAGCATTACGACACGGTCATGTGACAAACATGTCATAAATATGACCAAAACCTGTCATGGTCATGGATGTTGCAAACATGTTATAAACATTACCAAAACCTGTCGTGGCTGTTATAAACATGACCAAAATTATATTATTTTAAGTGTTAGAAACTGTACATGATACAAAACGGTTTATCATGATTAAATCTATAGGAGTGTTCTATTAGGTCAATGTTAACCTCTGTGTGATTCACTCTACAGTAGAGTTCTATTAGGTCCATGTTAACCTCTGTGTGATTCAATCTACAGTAGAGGTCTATTAGTTAAATGTTAACATCTGTGTGATTCAATCTAGAGTAGAGTTCTATTAGGTCAATGTTAACCTCTGTTTGATTCAATCTAGAGTAGAGTTCTATTTGGTCAATGTTAACCTCTGTGTGATTAAATCACCTCCCAGTGGATCCATTTGTACAGATTGAAATCTGCTGGGGAGTAGTCTGCTTCTGACACATCAGGCAGGTTTCTGTGAGAGAGAGGGAGAGGGAGAGGGAGAGGGAGAGGGAGAGGGAGAAGGAGAGGGAGAGGGAGAGGGAGAGAGGGAGAGGGAGAGGGGAGAGGGAGAGGGAGAGAGGGAGAGGGAGGAATGAAAGAGGGAGAGAGAGGAGGAAAGAGAGAGACAAAGAGAGGGGGAGGGGGAGACTTTGTTCCTTTTTTATACACAATTGTCTTTAACTTGATTGGATAAGAAATCAAGCCAGCTAAATAGATATAGAATATAATGAGAAAAGTTAGGCTTCTGAGTTCATAATCAAAAACTGGGAGGAGGGGAGGCTGTCAATCTCAAATCCAATTGGCTGTCATCTTATACCATTGGTGCCTAACAAAGGCACTCTACCATTGACAGAAAACTCATCTTGAAACGAGAGAAAGTTCATTCTTCTACCCTACTTCTCCATGGAAATCACATCATATCGCATCACATGACGTTATCAATGGGTGAAATGGCATTGTGACAACAACACGTTAAGCATGCAGTGATGAAATCGGTAGAATTAGAGATGATCCCCAGAACTAACCCATGCAGCACCACTGACAGACACGCCCCTAACCTCATATTTATGGGATATTCTGCTACTGTCAAGGGGTGCTGAAGGTGGGTGTGGTGCATGAATCAAGCGCAGGACGCAGAAGCTCAGTCCAAAATACTTTAGTGCAATATTCACGTAGGAAAATAAGCACAATAAGCCCGAAGGCGAAATCACGGCGCACACAGGCGTCAAACAACGGCTGCACTAACATGTGCGAAAACCCTCTCCAAAACACTGGAGGGAAGTACGTAGCTCCAACACGAAAACAGAAGAGCAATCACACACAAAGACAAGCACAACCAACGAGAACTAAATAGGACACTAACGAGGACTAACAAGACACAGGTGTACAACATCAAGACAAAACCAAACGAACATGAAACCATATATCGATGGCAGCTAGTACTCCGGGGACGACGACCCGCCGAAGCCTGCCCCGAACCAGGAGGAGGAGCAGCTTGGCCGAAACCGTGACAACTACAAACCCTAAATGACTCCAGAGTAGCATCCACCTATACTGAAATTATTCAAACACTAACATCACTAACACAGTAACTCACTAACATCACTAACATCACTAACATCACTAACATCACTAACTCAGTAACTCAGTAACTCACTAACTCCACTAACTCACTAACATCACTAACTCACTAACATCACTAACTCACTAACATCACTAACTCACTAACTCACTAACTCACTAACATCACTAACTCACTAACATCACTATCTCACTAACATCACTAACTCACTAACTCACTAACTCACTAACATCACTATCTCACTAACATCACTAACTCACTAACATCACTAACATCACTAACTCACTAACATCACTAACATCACTAACTCACTAACATCACTAACATCACTAACTCACTAACATCACTAACATCACTAACTCACTAACATCACTAACTCAGTAACTCACTAACATCACTAACATCACTAACATCACTATATCACTACCTCACTAACTCAGGAAATGTGCATATGAATTACAATCTTACAACACCCTTTGAAACCAAAACAGCTGATGTCGTGAGGCAGCTATCTACCTACAGCCCTGTATGATGCTCTATGTCTCTACTGTTCTCTATTCTGTCTGTGTTCTACTGCAGTGGAGCAGCCATCCCGTATTAGACCCAAACACGGCGGCATCGCCGGATCCAGCGCCAGATCCTCCGTCACGTGTGTCTTACGTGTCAGAGAGAAGGACCGTGCGAGGCACACCATGCAACACGCACACGGGGTCTCCCCCTCCCGCTGCCGGGGTCTCCCCCTCCCGCTGCCAGGCAACGGACAAAATGTCCATCCCACGCCACAAGAAGCTGACCAAGGAGGGGGACAGACAGACAGACAGACAGACAGACAGACAGACAGACAGACAGACAGACAGACAGACAGACAGACAGGCACAGACAGACAGACAGACAGACAGACAGACAGACAGACATACAGACAGACAGACAGACAGACAGACAGGCAGACAGACAGGCAGACAGAAAGACAGACAGACAGACAGACAGACAGACAGACAGACAGACAGGCAGACAGACAGACAGACAGACAGACAGACAGACAGACAGACAGACAGACAGACAGACAGACAGACAGACAGACAGACAGACAGACAGACAGACAGACAGGCAGGCAGACAGACAGGCAGGCAGGCAGGCACAGGCATACAGACAGACAGACAGACAGACAGACAGACAGACAGACAGACAGACAGACAGACAGACAGACAGACAGACAGACAGACAGGCAGGCAGGCAGGCACAGGCATACAGACAGACAGACAGACAGACATGCAGGCAGGCAGGCACAGGCATACAGACAGACAGACAGGCAGGCAGGCAGGCAGGCAGGCAGGCAGACAGACAGACAGACAGACAGACAGACAGACAGACAGACAGACAGGCAGGCAGGCAGACAGACAGACAGACAGACAGACAGACAGGCAGGCAGGCAGGCAGACAGACAGACAGACAGACAGACAGACAGACAGACAGACAGACAGACAGACAGACAGACAGACAGACAGACAGACAGACAGACAGACAGACAGACAGACAGACAGACAGACAGACAGACAGGCAGGCAGACAGACAGGCAGGCAGGCAGGCACAGGCATACAGACAGACAGACAGACAGACAGGCAGGCAGGCAGGCACAGGCATACAGACAGACAGACAGACAGACAGACATGCAGGCAGGCAGGCACAGGCATACAGACAGACAGACAGACAGACAGACAGACAGACAGGCAGGCAGGCAGGCAGGCAGGCAGGCAGGCAGGCAGGCAGACAGACAGACAGACAGACAGACAGACAGGCAGGCAGACAGACAGACAGACAGACAGACAGACAGACAGACAGACAGACAGACAGACAGACAGACAGACAGACAGACAGACAGACAGACAGACAGACAGGCAGGCAGGCAGACAGACAGACAGACAGACAGACAGACAGACAGACAGACAGACAGACAGACAGACAGACAGACAGACAGACAGACAGACAGACAGACAGGCAGGCAGGCAGGCAGGCAGGCAGGCAGGCAGGCAGACAGACAGACAGACAGACAGACAGACAGACAGACAGACAGACAGACAGACAGACAGACAGACAGACAGACAGACAGACAGACAGACAGACAGACAGACAGGCAGGCAGGCAGGCAGGCAGGCAGGCAGGCAGACACAGCCCTCAATGAACAAAAGGATAATGATAATACATGCATATTAATATAATTATATAATTATATCATTATTTTCATTAATAATTATAATAATAACAATGATAGACAGTGTGTGGGTACATTTGTTGCAGACTGAGAGACCAGGGACTAACCTATGACCTCTTGGAAGCACACCTGGAGATGAGGTAGAGCTGGGGTTTAGATGGGATGGGTTCCACCTAGTGGTAGAGACGGGGATAGCAGCACAGAAGAGCCCAAGTGGAAAGCGAGCGAGTGAGTGTGTGAGGGAGGATTTCAGGAGAGGAACTGAATTGAACTCAAAGAGCAAACACACACACACACACGCACACACACACACACACACGCACACACACACACACACACACACCTAGACACAGACACACACCTAGACACAGACACACACCTAGACACAGCCACAGCCACACACACACCTGAACACACACACACCTGGTGTGGGTGCCCATGGTCACATTGGCTATGATCATAGAGGTAGGGAAGGAGCAGTGAGGGTGATAGGAGAGAGATGTCAATCTGGTACTTCTGAAAGTAATCTGGTACGAAGCTGTCATCTCTGCAAACATCAAAGCAGTGACTTTGATCTCAAATCAAATCAAATCAAATCAAATTGTATTGGTCACATGCGCCGAATACAACAGGTGCAGACATTACAGTGTAATGCTTACTTACAGCCCTTAACCAACAGTGCATTTATTTTAAACAAAAAAAGTAAGAATAAAACAACAAAAAAAAAAAGTAAAATAAAGTGACAGTAGGGAGGCTATATATACAGGGGGGTACCGTTGCAGAGTCAATGTGCGGGGGCACCGGCTAGTTGAGGTAGTTGAGGTAATATGTACATGTGGGTAGAGTTAAAGTGACTATGCATAAATACTTAACAGAGTAGCAGCAGCGTAAAAAGGATGGGGTGGGGGGGCAGTGCAAATAGTCCGGGTAGCCATGATTAGCTGTTCAGGAGTCCTATGGCTTGGGGGTAGAAGCTGTTGAGAAGTCTTTTGGACCTAGACTTGGCACTCCGGTACCGCTTGCCGTGCGGTAGCAGAGAGAACAGTCTATGACTAGGGTGGCTGGAGTCTTTGACAATTTTGAGGGCCTTCCTCTGACACCGCCTGGTATAGAGGTCCTGGATGGCAGGAAGCTTTGCCCCAGTGATGTACTGGGCCGTACGCACTACCCTCTGTAGTACCTTGCGGTCGGAGGCCAAGCAGTTGCAATACCAGGCGGTGATGCAACCAGTCAGGATGCTCTCGATGGTGCAGCTGTAGAATGTTTTGAGGATCTGAGGACCCATGCCAAATCTTTTTAGTCTCCTGAGGGGGAATAGGCTTTGTCGTGCCCTCTTCACGACTGTCTTGGTGTGTTTGGACCATGATAGTTCGTTGGTGATGTGGACACGAAGGAACTTGAAGCTCTCAACCTGTTCGACTACAGCCCCGTCGATGAGAATGGGGGCGTGCTCAGTCCTATTTTTTTTCCTGTAGTCCACAATCATCTCCTTTGTCTTGGTCACGTTGAGGGAGAGGTTGTTGTCCTGGCACCACACGGCCAGATCTCTGACCTCCTCCCTATAGGCTGTCTCATCGTTGTCGGTGATCAGGCCTACCACTGTTGTGTCGTCGGCAAACTTAATGATGGTGTTGGAGTCGTGCCTGGCCATGCAGTCATGGGTGAACAGAGAGTACAGGA